TATAACAACTCCTCGCGAGTCTGTGTTGCCAATGCCAGCTGCTTCCACCCCGCTCGTACCGACGCCGCGTGAGCCGGTGCCAGATCCCGATGGCGCCGCCGAGTAGCCTCGCACTCGCTTCAGCCGATCTCTCGACGCATTCCGGAACTCGGTACCCATGAACTGTTCGTGTGTGCATGAGCGGATGAGAATATTCCAACGGGACTGTAGGAATTGGCTACGCAGATAGGAATTGATAGTCCCCTGGGTTGGTTTCATGGTTGATCCACGGGGCTCGACCCTGCGGGAGTGCTTGCTGTGTCGTGGCACTCTCTCTCTCCCGCCGCGTCCTGATCGTGTCTGCTGTCCTAAATACAAGTGATACCATCATCTTCAACACACTTACAAGGGTATACTAACACTCTAGAGGTGTATCCCTCGAGGGAACCCGTGCTGGAGATGAGTGGCGCCGATGTTGCAGCAGAGGCTGCCGACGTCACCACTAGTACGCAGGGCAGGGTTGACAACCTGGAGAGCAAAGTTTCAGGCCTGACGGACGAGGTGCAGCAGCTGGCTGGGCTGCTCCGAGCCGCCCTCGGAGAGTTAGACAAGGAGGGGGAGTCCGGCGGCGCTGGGGTGGGCGCTGTCGTCACGGGCACTACGTCCACCGGCGGTGCCCAGGAGGGGGCACCGCAGAACGAGGGAATCACGCCGCCCTCAGACCCGGCGGTTGGGCCGGGTGGCGGGCGTGACAGGGGACCGCTCCCCCAAGGTGAGACAACCGAGACATATGGCGGTGGTATTGGCGGTTTTGGCGGACTCGTCGGAGAAGGAGACGGTTTTCACCAGAACCCGTATAGCAAAATGCGTGTGTCAGTGCACGCGCCGCGCCTCGAAGGCGGCCAGGGATACTACTCGTGGAGGAGGGCCTTTATCCAGGCTGCAAAAACGGTAGACATGGACGGTCAGTTCGTAGGGGGCACGGAACGCCAGCCGGACGTCGGGGACATGAATAAACCCAAAGCTACGCTGCTGGCAGAGGGGTACTCCGAGGCACAGATACACCGCAGCCTCCAAGCTTTTCATTTTCTGTCCTCGGCCCTGGTGAGGGAGCCAGACAAGGCCGTCTTCGGGAGATGTGTGACGCCGAAGCAGGCGTTGGACGAACTAGACAAGGTGCACAACCCGGAATCGCAGGTCGCCACGCAGGAGTTGCTCAGCAAGTTTCAGAACTTCGCAATGCCGTCCGACAAAAACCCTACTGAATCGCTTATCGCCATGGAGCAACTCGCAAGTCGTCTGAACGAGAGGGGGGTCAAAGTCGAGGCCCCGTACGTGCTGTCGCTCTTCCTTTCGGCCTTACCAGCCGAGTACGACCATGCTAAACTGACTCTGCAGTCCGCCCCGACCCTGGACCGGGGAGAGATCATCAGAGTGGTGGGCTCCCAGCACTCCAGCATCAGGCAGGGGAAGAACCATCGGTACGGCAACCGCAACAATCACAAGGCGTCTGAGCAGGGATTACTCGTGAGCACCAACAATGGCGGCGGTGGAAAAGCTGGTCGCAACCGCGGCCGTGGGGGACGCAACGGCAACGGCAACGGCGGTGGAGATGGTCGCAGTGACGGCGGCCGCCGCAGGGGCCGGTGCTACCGGTGCAACAGGCGAGGGCACCAGTCGGCCTCGTGCACTACCCCCATCACCAACTTCTTGACCCAGTGCGAAGTCTGCGACGGGTATGGACATGATAAGAGCAAGTGCCCGTCAGCGAAGGTTGAGGAGGAGGCGAAGGGCGAGACGGCAGTCATGGCGGTTGTGGTGGCGAGCGATGACGAGGAGCTGGATGTGGCACGTGAGGCGTTGTAAGGACAGGCGGGGGAAAGACGCCACAGCCGCGCGGGTCACCGCGCACGCTCCATCTACACCATCGCAGCAGCGTGGAAAGGTGGAGACACAGAAAAACCGGCCGCAAGGCCGCGAGCCCATAGCCGCGACGGAAGGGGCGCGGGAGGGCAACAACAAAAATAACACGGCGGGAGGGCCGTGTGCCCGCAGCCGCGACGGAAGGGGCGCGGGAGGGCAACAACAAAAATAACACGGCGGGAGGGCCGTGCGCTCGCCGCCGCGACGGGAGGGGCGCGGGAGGGCAACAACAAAAATTAGACGGCGGGAGGTCCGTGTGCTCGCAGCCGCGACGGGAGGGGCGCGGGAGGGCAACAACCAAATAACACGGCGGGAGGGCCGTGTGCTCGCAGCCGCGACGGGAGGGGCGCGGGAGGGCAACAAAAAAAAAAAAAAATCTAAGGCCCCATCGCGCGTCGGACGGGGCGTGAGGGGTGGAGAAAACCGAAGCAGCCCCGTGGCGCGCCGGAAAGGGCGTGAGGGGGAACCCCGCGGCACGTCGGAAGGGGCGTGGGGGGGAGGGTATTTGCCTCGTGATGCTAAAACGGGAACTCCTTTTCTGGCGAGGCTACAGGCCGGGACGAGCGCTGGGAGGGGAGCAACACGCATCACAGTGCTGGATTGGCACTTCTCTCTTGACGGTATTTGGTGTTTGATGGTATTCGTAGCGAAGTTGGTGATCCTCGTTAGTTGTCATGAGTGCACTTTGGTTGAAGAGCCAGGGAGGGTGTTCCGTGTTTCTCGGAGGCGTTCGCGTCCACATGTTCAGCATTTTCCTGGTAGTCATTTGGCTGAAACTTCTTGATTGCCGCCAAGTGGGGCCGTTCTCTAGGTTGCGAAATGTGCAGGAATCTGGGATACTGTTGGAACCGCCGAAGGAACGTATGAGGAAAAATTGGGACATCAGTGTTGTACGTCGACGAGAACAGAGGATTGTCGAAAAATGCATGCCGGTTGTGTGTCGCTCAGAAAATGTTGGATGATTGCCTTATGCCCCGGTGCGCTGTGTTACGTCAGCGAGGGGGGGGGGGCGATTTCGATGTTTGTCTGATGTTTGTTTGAATAACAGATAGTAGTGCAGCCGCATGGTAGTTGTTTGAACCAACTCCTCAGGATAGTCTTACGCTATTGCTCACCAAGAATTGAGATAGGCCGTTGTTGGAAACAGGGTTACGATCTTGGTACGTCATGCAGGAAGAATATGATAGCACGCCGCCCACGTTTGTAGATATAGATTCCGAGCGTGGATCCTGGCGCGACTGGTATTGTGCATGTATTGATCTTGCTCTGGTAGCGCAACAGTGACAGTATCCGGTGGAACGGTGAATATTGGTGGGGGTTTTGACCCGGAGGCCGGGTTTCCCCCTGTTATGTTTTCGCGTTGGTTTTTTTGCCCGTTTGGGTTTTCGTCGCATCCGGCGTGTGCATGCCCACTAGTGGTTAGTTACTAGCGTAAAGAACCAGGGAGGGTGTTCGTGTGTGCATGAGCGGATGAGAATATTCCAACGGGACTGTAGGAATTGGCTACGCAGATAGGAATTGATAGTCCCCTGGGTTGGTTTCATGGTTGATCCACGGGGCTCGACCCTGCGGGAGTGCTTGCTGTGTCGTGGCACTCTCTCTCTCCCGCCGCGTCCTGATCGTGTCTGCTGTCCTAAATACAAGTGATACCATCATCTTCAACACACTTACAAGGGTATACTAACATGAACTCCGTCAGAGCTCACTGCTTATGAATATGCTTGCCATCGGCCTCGCAGAAGGAAGATACCTCGCCAGGCCCGTTTTCTGTGGCGTGAAGGAAGGCGTCCAGCTCAACCCCCACAAGGCGGCCAGACTCCTCCGTGGCTACGGGTGCGCTCTCCTCTCCTTCACTTGCGTCGTCCTCGTCCTCAGAACCCCGGGGCATTGGTCAGGGTCTGGGTCAGGGTTAGGTCTAACCCTAACCCTCACCCTAGCCGACGCCTCGGCGAAAAAACCGGGGATACATGGGCATATGTCCCCGCCCCCCCCCCAAAATGAACCCCCCCCCAAAAAATGACCTCGATTTTCAATGAGTAGGCCTATGTGTCTTGAAATATTTTTCGCGAAGAACCTGCCCTCACGCATAAATCTTTTCTACCACGAGCAGAACCTTTTGTTTGCTCGTTTCATCCTAACAACACACAACACTATTCAATTCGCCGTACACAACCACAACGACAAACACGAACATGATCTACGTTATTACCTAAAGTTAAGTTGGGTACACACGCTCAGCCTTGTTCTACTACTACTGCGCAGCGTACCACCGCGCCCGCTGCCAAGTGAGAACACGGGTGACCAAAGGGAGGTTGCATAACTGGTGCCAACCTCTCCGGGGCCAGGTTGGGACGTCGGGGATCGATCTTGGACAACATGTAGTCTACGCTGCCCGTCCGCCCCATTGATGGGACCAACGTCGTCGCAATCCGTGACGTGTGGCTAGTTGGATATGTCGGCGTACAACCTGACCCTAGAGAGGTTGTGAGGAGGTTGTGCACTAGATACAACTTGCGTTGGCCACCCGGGAAAGATCAATGGTGCTGTCGTTGGACTCTGCGGTGTCGCTTGGGTCGGCAGCAACAAGGAAATCAGCATGATGTACAAGTTGTGGACATGGAACAAACGCGAAAGAGTCGAGTTATTCGCTGTTGATAAGTACAACAAGGCTGGAAACTGCGACCGGGGCGGCAACTCACGCGCCCCCGATACCCCTTGGCTATGGTGGACGCGACACTGAGCATATGCCATCTGACTAGAGTAGCGTTTCAGGCTACCTGTCCTTGGTAGCTGATGACCTTCCGCTTGAAATACGTGCTCTGGGATCTTTGCATTTTGTATATACAGTACGCATTTCCTCCGTCCTTTGTGCCACCCATGGAGAATGGCTGACCATGGGTACGCATGGGTACCCATAGGCACGAATTAGGATAATGTACATCACCCCAGACAAATGAAGGTACAAAGTAGGCTCCAACGAATGACAATAATAATGCTCAATACCAATTTCGCAGGAAATGTGTCGTTCCAAAGATACTGTCGCATCGCGAAATCAAAGCTGACAGAACGAAGAATTCAGTTGTGAAAATACAGACTCTACGGAATGAAAATCGATGCTTGGGTTAGATTTTCAAAGCGAATGTCTCGTTCGAAAAATACAATTGCATGTCGCAATCGAAGTTGACTGTGCGAAGAACCCACTATGGAAGCTCAAAAAGGCTCCACCGAAGTTAATGCTCAACTCCATCATCTCGTCCCAATAATAATTCGCCACGCAATCAAAGCTGACGGCGGAGAATCTAGTTCTGAAAGTACAGATAAGCTACTACAATGAATGATATTGATGCTCAGTCAATGTTCACAGCAAACCTCTCGTTCCGAACATACTTTGGTACATAGCTTCCCCAGAACCTGCTTGATTTCGTTGAAGAGGTTGTGGATGTTTGGCTTCGTCGCCTTCAACCCAAAGAACAGCTCGCGCAGCTAGAACACCTGGGATACGCTTGAAAGAGCTACTGAAAAGCTTGAAGGAGCACACACGTTGACGAATGGCGACCACCATCTCTACAGGAAACTAGACTAATGCCAACGGTTTTAGGCAACAGGTCCTGTGTAGGCAAAGCGCACACCAGCGTTGAAATTGGGGCACATTGTGAGGTATAAAATCGTAAAGGCGGCGACGCTATATTCTAAGTCACGTGGAGTCCTTGTTCACGTGCAGGTCGGCAGGGAGGAGTCTTCTGCTTTCATTTCAGGGCATGACGGACTCGACCGTGACAGAGCCATCGGTCATGGTGGTGAACGTCTGGCTCCCGACAAGCACCTGCGAAGTTCGTGCGTGAGAAGAAAAAAAAGACAGGCACACAACCAAAAGTTTTCGGCGAGGCAAAAGGTACGCTCGGTGGTAGAGAGTGAATGAAAGGAAGGGTTGAGCGGTGGTAGAGCTAACAGCCTCGGGCAGTCCATGTCTGTCAATCTACATAAACCTGTCGGATAGCAAACGGAACGAGAATATCAGAGGTCTTCATACCTCGTCAGCCAGCACGTTGGCGGCGCACGAGGTGCCGACCGTGGCACCCGCGGGCACGGAAACCGTGACGGTGAAGTCCAGCATCGCACCACCGTCGACGTTCTCGTAACCACTGCTGGGGTCCACGGTAACGGACCACGAGCTGTCCTCACAGACCCACTCGACCCAGACCTTCGAGTACTGAACGCCCGCGAATCCCTGCATCGGTGTCATATCATTGGGTGTACAAACCATCATCGGGCGAGTACTGTGGGAAACAAGACCGACAGCTTCAGTTGACCAGGGGAGGGAAAGCGCATGATGTACGGTCAACTGAATGAGCAAAGTGATCTTCGAACTGCTCGAAGTGATGGGGTAGGTGCGACGGGATACACTACCGACTTGACCGGGGATGTGCAGCAATGTCGACGACTGGTGAAAACTTATGTTTCGAATCCCAATACGTTTCTTTTCAGGCTTATTTTGTTGCGTGAGTCTACTCCTTTCTTGGGCCGCCGCGCTTGCCTGGAGAATGGCGCCCACAATGTCCTCGGAATCGGCCTGTGTGGTTTCCACCACGCCGCCCGTTCCTTCGGCAATGTAGTCCATCTCATCGCCGGCACCAACAGCCTTGAGGGCGAGGATCTGTCAAGTTTAAAAGCGCCGAATTAACCGAAATTATCGAAAACCGTTGCATCATTTGAGAAGGGAGGGTCGTTGGTTCCGTGTTGGGAGGAGCGCGATGCATGTGCGGTAGGTGAAGGATGCGGAAAGCGAAGTACTTGGTCGCGTGATGCAACTGGTCCGTCAATCAACGAGGCGCAGCTGATTCCAAGTTGGTTCCACACCTCCTGTACCGTAGTACGGAGCTTGGATGTGGCGTACGCATCTGATAACGACAGGCATATTTGGCTGCAAACGCTGGTCAACAAGGTGCCGATCCTGGCCACCCACATCTGTTGGCGAATTCTACGCTGCTGCCTTCAATGACTGCATTTTTTGCTTCTCCTCGTGGCCACTAGGCCGAAATGGAAAGCGAACTACCCTCTGACATTGCCGAAACCAGAGCAATAATTCCATCGCCGCGCATGAACGCCGCGTTCATAGCAACTTCACCTTGATGCCGTTCTCGTTGCAAGCTGTGATGACTTCATCCAGATTGTAATACTCGTCATCGTACGAATAGCCGTCGCCAGGCACGTGGAAGCTATTATCCGTGGTGATGGCTAAGACCTGATCAGTAGAGCATAGCGTTACAGACGGCGAACATATATTTCAAATCTCTCCAAGGCATGCGACTCCTAATATCCGCAGTGGTGCGGCCATGCAGAGCTACGTTTTCGAAAGGCCTCTCCTACGTGACTACGAGCTCAGGTCGTTCACACCTATGGACCCATAGAGAAGGTCTGTAGACTTGACGTGGGGTACTGTTTTCTTGGAAGGGAGAAAATTCCAAGGCGTGGAAAACCAAACCAGGACGTAATTCGACCAGAAACATCGCAGAATCGCCGCTTGGCCTGGTCTTGATGTACAAGTGTCCACCAAAAAACAGCCTGTATAGTAGTGGTAGCCGTGCAACGTGGTACTGTAAGACAATTTCCGCAATGTCAAATATTCAATCCTTGTCCGTGTCATGCGTTGGCACACCTTGAGCACACCGTCCCTCCACGCCCACTCTGTGGCAGCCCTATACAACCCAATCGTCTGGGCTTCTGAGTATGTCCAGTCCATCCCACTCATGTTTGCTTCAAGCGTGTCGACTTCGAGAACGAAGTCGTCTTGCTCCTGCTCGAAGCAAACCTCGTCGCTGCAGCTCCCGAAGTCCTTCAACATAGTGTATTCTGAACCATCGATTCCTGTCCTTTCCTGCACATCGACGGAGGGTACATTCAAGATGCGATGATCGGCAGTCAGGCTCATGAGGAGGGAAGCCCATGGTCCACAACACGACGCCATGCGAACTCCCCAAACCCGCGAATATCGCGAATTATGGTGTACGGAGTGTGAAATGAAGTGTATGCGACCCGTCTTCATGATCCAAAACATAGGTTTGGAGCTAGGCCAACATACCGTTGAGAAGAGGGATAGACCACGAAAAGATTAGAACTGATCCCTTTCGATCAACTCCAGGCGTGGGTTGGACAATCGATTGGGGCATCTACCGTCGACGAGAGGGGTAGGCGACAAAAAGATGACAACTAGCCCCTTTCGATCAACTCCAGGCGTGGGTTGGACAATCGATTGAGGCATCTACCGTTGAGGAGAGGGGTAGGCCACGAAAAGATGACAACTAGCCCCTTTCGATCAACTCCAGGCGTGGGGTGGACAATCGATTGAGGCATCTACCGTTGAGAGGAGGGGTAGGCCACGAAAAGATGACAACTAGCCCCTTTCGATCAACTCCAGGCGTGGAATGGACAATCGATTGGGGCATCTACCGTTGAGAGGAGGGGTAGGCCACGAAAAGATGACAACTAGCCCCTTTCGATCAACTCCAGGCGTGGAATGGACAACCGGGTTGGCAGGATACCCAACTCCCGCATTCATAAGCCTAACGCGGATCTTCGTTGAGTTCTTGAAGCTTCTTACCTCAATGTCTGAGAAGCTTCCGAGAGCCAGAGCGAGGTTGGCCGTGCTGGCAGCCAAGTCTTGTACCAGGTCGCCCGCCAAGAGCTTCAGGTTGGCGATGTCGCCGCTGGACTCAAAGGCCGACAGGGGATAGAGCAGTACGAACAAACCGAGAGCCAAGGGAATGAGCGGTGCATCGATTTGGGTAAGAAAATACCGCATCCGGGCTTCGACGCCCCTTGGGAGACCGTAAGGTGCTCGAGGTGGAAGTACGGGAACATGTTGCGCTGGATCATGCTTGTCGACAGTGACGAAATCTGGAAAGTGGCGACCGCTAGTGTCATAACAAAAAAGTGAACTCTCGGCACGAGTCCTTGAAGGGCGTCCTAGGTTCAACTTCCACGCGGCTATACCGTGAGAGGCACGTCCGGAGGTCTCGACTTACGCGTAACTAGACGACACGTCGACGAGAAGGCCAAAGTCCACGCTGGTTTCGGTGAGCTCAGGGACTTTCACCGTGAAAGACTCGGTCACCGACACAGGCGTGCCTGTCGTCGACAGCGGGAGACACAGCCAAGCACGAGAGGACGGAGAGGACCCACGGCGGGCGAAATGAAAGGAAGTTCAATTAGGATGCACAAGCCTGGGAGTTTCCTGCAACCTGTTTTTACCTCCAACACAACTACCAAGAGAAAGTCACTGATCTAAACCTGATCTACGTACTGTAAACCTAACCCTATTTAGTCCTCTCTACATTTTAACTTTCTGGCCACGTGCCCTACGATGCTCAACAACTGCCTCTCATGCTGTCCTCCAGCTACAAGACAGCATGCCACCGATATCGCTCTCCAACCTACCTGGGGTCACCGGTGCCGGGGCCGGCGTGGATGGGGCTGGGATCACCCGTGTCGGGGCTGATGTGAACGGGGCTGGCGTGGGCTCTTTCGATAACAACGCCGGTTTTGACAATACGGATCAAATCAGGTACGGAGCAAATCAAAAGCATGTATGGGTACGAGCGGGGATCGTGGGATTGAGACGTCCGGACGCAGTGAAGGCGATCTGGCGTGAGTAGAGACTAGGGATCCTCCGGCTCTCCGGAAAGGCCCATGCAACGATAGGAAGCGGGTATGCGCTGACCAAAATTGGAAAGAAGAGCAGTGAAATACGAAAGAAGTCTCTTACCGTCTTCACCGTTGTCGTACCACGGTTCCTCGTCGTACGAATAAGAGAAGGAGAAGTCGAAGGAGAAAGAAAACTCGTCTTCGGGTGTGGGGGCTGAATTCATAGACGGGCCGGTCCCGGAACAGTGTCGTCTGGACAAGAGGGAACGGGTGTGCGCCACGGGGGGGAGTTACTCGCAGTTAGTCTCTTGTTTTTCCGCAGTTGGTATTGAGGATCCTCAACTTGCTTGGATCCAGGCGTTGGGGACCATCAGGTATCAGCTGAAGTCACACACGATTGGTCAGATCCAGGAGCTGTTACTAACTCGTCGAAGAACTCCGGTCGCACGTGGCCGGGTATTCCGAATGGGGAGCCTCACCATCAGGGGGAGGAGTCGTGGTTGCAGCACCGGTGGGTGATGCAGGGCCAGGAGGTACGGGAGCGGTGGGTTCAGCACCGGTGGGTTCAGCCCCGGTGGGTAATGCAGGGCCAGGAGAGACGGGGGCCGTGGGTGAACAACCGGCGGGTGAGGGGCGGGTGAGGGTGCCAGTAAGTCGCCTTCAATGTAGCCCGGGGCCTCAACTCTAGAGTTTCCTGCAACGCCATGATCATGCAGTAGCACTACAACGAAGAGAAGTCGCAGGTCTAACCCTAACCCCATCATGCTAGATCTCTCTACTTTCAACACTCTGGCTACGTGCCCTACGAGGCTTAACAGCTGGTTCTCATGCTGTCCTCCAGCTGCAAGCCACATGGCACTGTATATTACTCCCCAATTGACCTGGGGTCACCGGTGCTGGGGTCGGTGTGGATGGGGCTGGGGTCACCCGTGCCGGGGCCGGTGTGGCCGGGGCTGAGGTCACCCGTTCCGGGGCTGGTGTGATTGGGCCTGGCGTAGAATCTGTCGATAACAACGCCGGTTTTCAAAATACGGATCAAACAAGGTACGGAGCAAAACACAAGCATGCATGATCCGTGCGATTGAGACGTCCGGTACGCAGTGAACGCGATCTGGAGTGAGCAGAGACTGGGGGATCCTCCGGCTCTCCAGAAAGGCCCATGCAACGTCTTGCAGTAACACTAAAACGAAGAGAAGTCGCAGATCTAACCCTAACCCCATCATGCTAGATCTCTCTACTTTCAACATGGTTCTCATGCTGTCCTCCAGCTGCAAGTCACATGGCACTGTATATTGCTCCCCAATTGACCTGGGGTCTCCGGTGCTGGGGTCGGTGTGGATGGGGCTAGGGTCACCCGTGCCGGGGCCGGTGTGGCCGGGGCTGGGGTCACCCGTTCCGGGGCTGGTGTGAACGGGGTTGGCGTAGAATCTGTCGATAACAACGCCGGTTTTCAAAATACGGATCAAACAAGGTACGGAGCAAAACACAAGCATGCACGATCCGTGCGATTGAGACGTCCGGTACGCAGTGAATACGATCTGGCGTGAGCAGAGACTGGGGGATCCTCCGGCTCTCCAGAAAGACCCATGCAACGATAGGATGGTGTTATGTGCGCTTGTAGCGGGGATCAATGGCAGTGAAAAGTGAAACGGGTCTCTTACCGTCCTCGTCGTTGAATTCATCGTTGGGGGCGGGGGTTGAAATCGTGTTCGGGGTCGGTCCCGGAACAGCGCAGTCTGGACAATTAAGGATCGGTGCGTGCAACGGGGGTGTAGGGGAGGCACTCGCTGTAAGCCTCCTGCTTTTCAAGAGCTGGTATTGGGGACCCTCAGCCAGCTTGGATCCAGGCGTTGGAGGCAATGCACGTGTCCGTGCCGGCGTGCCTGTACCTTCGCTGTACGCACGGCGGATCGGTTAGCTGATGAGGGTCGTTTCCAAGGTGTTCAATTTCGTCTGCGTGTCTGTTTGTTCAAACCCCACGGAACAACGATACAATCTGCAGAGACCGGCGACTCTTCGCACGTATCTAACGTCATCCTACACTCCAAGGAACTGAACACTACCGCAGCAAACGCTTTCGGGTCGAATGACAGGTCCAAGGTTAAGGCTTGGAAGAACACCGGGAGACCGGGAGAAATGAGAGTCCGAAAATCCTCCTCTCCTGTGGTGCTACAAAGTGTGTGTGACACCGCTCTCACCGTCGAAGTAGCAAGGGGCCGTCCCCGTAGCAGAGCACGCCCCTCCGTCAAGAAGGATCCTGGACAAGAAGCATCGAAGCCAGCCAACGGGGAACGGGATGGTGTGTGTTGTTGAAGCCCGGGTTTTCGCAGCAGGCCGTGACTGATAGCATACCCACATCTCACGTAGCTACACGCTCGCTCGAATACGATAGGGAGCAAGTAGGGGAATGGTAACCATTCGGCACCGTGGTAACTTACTCGGTGACGCAGCAGTCATCAGCTCCGAGGTCTGGCGAGAATTGAGAGCACCCAACGCCCCCGCATGCCCCACACTCCGCGACGCAACACACTCTTCCATTGTCGGACTCGACGCCATCGATGCCATAGCTGCACGTCGTGCCTGCTGCGGGGGCGGTCACGGGCGGCATAGGGTGGCTAGGCAAAGTGACAAGATACTGATTCCAAGACGGGAAAACACCGTTGGCCGGACGAGAGAAGAACAAGACACCACGAAGCATTTCGTTCTCTTCTCCAGTTGGTATTGGCGACCCTTGGCTTGCTTGGCAAAGGGCTGCCGAAGTTAATCAGTTGAGCTGTCATCGTCGTCGTGCCACGGTTCGGAGATGTAGGAGTACGAGTAGCTGTAGGAGAGGTCAGTCGAAGGGGACACCGGAGCTGGCCGTAGTAGTTGTTTCGGAAAAGCGTAAAGAAGATTACACCACGGTTAGCGTTTGTGCGAGCGGGTCCACTTGCATGTCCATTTGAGATGTTTCATTCGTTGCAGCCGATCGCGAGGGAGAGCGATACGGGGGAATCGCACTAACGGCGAATCAAGAAAGAACGACAAAGAGCAACAAAAAACCATACGAAAGTTCTTACCCAGCGTCGGCATCTCGCTCGTTGGGTGCGTGGGTGAAGGCGTCACGGCGGCAGGGGGCGGAGTGGCGGCTCCTGGAGAGAGGAAGTATGAATGCCGGCCGCAAGTGATCGAAATAAGCAACAGAAGGAGAGGGGCGAAATACATGAAAAGAGAGAGAAAAACATAATCAGGATAATTATTGCAGTGAAGGGTGTAAGCTCCTGGAACACCGATGACCAAGGTTGAATGCCAGCTGTAGGAGAGGTCAGTCGATGGGGATACCGGAGCTGGTCGTAGTATTTGTTTCGGAAAGGCGTCAAGAAGATTACACCACGGCTAGTGTCTGTGCGAGCGGGTCCACTTGCATGTCCATTTGACATATTTCATTCGTTGCAGCCGATCGCGAGGGAGAGCGATACGGGGGAATCGCACGAACGGCGAATCAAGAAAGAACGATAAAGAGCAACAAAAAACCATACGAAAGTTCTTACCCAGCGTCGGCATCTCGCTCGTTGGGTGCGTGGGTGAAGGCGTCACGGCGACAGGGGGCGGAGTGGCGGCTCCTGGAGAGAGGAAGTATGAATGCCGGCCGCAAGTGATCGAAATAAGCAACAGAAGGAGAGGGGCGAAAGACATGAAAAGAGAGAGAAAAACATTGTCAGGATAATTATTGCAGGGAAGGGTGTAAGCTCCTGGAACACCGATGACCAAGGTTGAACGCCAGTAAGTATATCGCCGTCATTTTGCACAAAGCAGGGAGACACAGAGTGGGGAAAATACTTGGCACCCTTAATATGGGCTGTGAGGTTGTAGAACGCACGAAGGCATGTTTGAGTTCATTCTCTCGGCCGACCTACGCCTGGACGGCAAACAGAACAATCCTACACAGAAACGGCAATCGACGGCGGTGGTATGGCAGCGCATCTTGGTCGTGAAGCCAGCTTAGCAAGTAGCTAATGGAATGCGGGGGCATCTCTTGCCCTCGGAAACAACGCCCACACAGCTGTCGACCGCATAGATGTACATCCAAAAAGAACCAGCTTTTCTGCTGAGACCGCAAACGTGGCGGGTCGCCTACGGCACTCCGTGCGAAGGAAAGATGCACGGAGCAATGGATCCCTTGTCACCCCACAAGTCCACTCAGCAGTAGTACAGACGGTTGGGCATGGCGAGCAGCAAGGGACGAGCCATGAGAGCGAGGCGTCGAGATGTTTCGGTTTACGTGCTACACCCTCTGCATGCACGCATAGGAAATGATAGTTCTTACCATCACAGGTCGGCACGACTCCCGCCACCTCGATAGAGGTCAGGTCGGGCTCGTTGTCCTCCTCGTCGACGTATGATACGTCTGCGACGATGGCGCCGCCCTCGGTCTCGCCGCAGGTGTCGAGCACAACCTCGAAGGAAGTGGGGGTGGCTTCGAGATTGGGGACCTCGAAAACGACGACGTTTCCCCCCTCCGAGACGCTAGCGGGGACCGATCCGCCCTCACCACCGCTGGCGGCGGTAACCATGGCGTTGAATTCTACACTGATGACGGCGTCGGTTGCGGCACAAGGGATGCTGTCGACCGAGGTGGAGACAATTTCGTCCAGGGTGTCTAGGGCACACGTCAGAGCAAGGGAGTCGGGCATGGGCGGTGGGGACGCGCATTCACAGACAGCCGGGGAGACGAGTTGATTGTCACGCGGGGTCTAGATACGCAGGGGGATCAGCGCATTACATGCGAAATAAGTGCCATAAGCTCGCTGAAGAAAGGGGGAGATGCGGCAGATTTTCTCTATGTGTGTGCCCTCCCGATGCTCGTGCACGCGAGTTGGATCGACAAGCCGCACGAACGCATTAACCCTAGCCCGTTAGAAGCCTGATTGGGTACACAATCAATAGAGTTATAAAAAAACTGAAATGTCGCTGTAGTCAGCGGGTAGTCCCAGAGAACGACAGCAAGCGAAGGGCCTCCTAGACAAGAAACAACAACAGCCAAACACTCACTGTCCAACTCCGTGAAATTGGAGGCATCAAACACGTTCGTCAGATCCCCCCCGATGCTCAGGAGCGTTGCCTCCGATACGTCAGGACCAACTCCGACGGCGTACACAATGGTTCCCTCGTCTCTGGCGGCGTCGGCTTCGATCTGGAGGCAACAGTTGGTCAAGGGCAGGCAGGGGCAAGACGTCACTACCACATTGGGGGCGGGTACGTGGGTAGGTGATGCTGGTGTTCCCTTGGTGATGATAAATTCCAATTGATTGCAATACTATCACGGTTTAGAATGTGGCCTTGAAATGTTTGCAACCGTCACATTCTTCATTTTTTTGTAGGACCCGCTTTATTGTCAACATTGGACCAGAAAGCGGCGACGTTAGATGAATTCCGATGCCCTCGTCAACATAGATCTTTTCTTCGAGTTGGCCGTGAATTTCAAGCGCCACAGGATAAGTGCTCCTGAGGATACTGAGCGCAATTCCACCGAGCGAACCCGCCTGTGGGTCTCCGCCCCGGTTCCAGTCGCCGTCGGTGATAAGGATCAAGAAGGACGTCCTGGTGGAGGTCCCGTTAGCAAGGAGCTCCCGCCCCTTGCTGAGGCCCGCCTCGATGTTGGTGTCTCCCTCTATCCACGAGGCGTTGTCCACGAATTCGTTGAACTCGGCTTCGGAGCCGAAGGTGCCACCGTCTGAAGCGGCATCTGAGAACGAAGCGTAAGAAGCCGTGCCCCCGTTGGTGAATAGGTTCTTCGCAGCGAACGACGCCGCCACGTTCTTGGCGAATTCCTTCTCAAGCAAGAAGGCGCCGTCTATGTCAAATATGCTCCCCGAGGAGTCGATGATGACGGCCACGTTGACCTGGTGGTGTGTAGCAGCAACCAGGAGGAGGAGGAGGAGAAGGACGACGACGGTGGTACGTAGATTTAGCCACCGAGCATGCCGTATCGGTGGATTGTTTTTTCCACCACGTACACATGAAAATTGCATGCTTAGCCTTCCACTTCACACACCTCAGCTACATCGTAACGAAGCCAAGCACGTTTTTGTTGGTCCTGTATGAATGGGTAATGTATCCCGCGTTCAACGTTGATATTTGTCTGCATCTCACACACGATCTCCCCTCATTGCTTAGCAAAACAAGCTCGAACTACGGTAACCCCCTGCCTGCCTGGGAGGGAACACCTAGAATCTGGCCAGGCCGGCAGCGTTCGAGCTCGGTGTGGAACGGCGTTCCCTCCGCCCGAGAAAAAAAAATCACCTTGTTTGCCTCTACGGACGTTTCGCCCTCGATCTGGAAGGTGAGCTCGCTACCTGCGCCGCAGGGGCAGGAGGGCGCGAACGCGACATTCGACACCTGCACGCACGAATCCTGACCGGACGTGGTACCCAGGAAAAGGGCCAGCGCGCCGCCGAGCAGAAGGTTCGATCGTCGCCCCATCTGAAGCGGGGGAGTTGAACAACGATGGCGATGGGAGAGGGAAAAAGGCAAGTAACAAATGTGATTTTATTTTTATTTGAGATGCTTTCACATTTATTTATGTTTACCAATTTAATGCTAGTACAGGTACACTGCAACCTGCGCACCTAAACGACAAAAATCACAGGAGGAGGTCAACACACGGACGGGCCTTTTTGATCTAAATGTTGCATTATTTCAAGAAGTAGTAGTTTTCACCCTACCTCTCTTCTGCGGTTCATGTGTCCGAATGCCCGAATGCTGTCGCCCGAAGGGTTGATATAGCGTCTCCTTATCAGCAAATAATTCTTCGGGGTTAGGGTTGACGATCGTATACCCCTATTTAATTTGGCGCAGGAGTCAAATTACATGGATATCACCTTGGTCGTGCTTGTGGGTTAACGTGTATGGACGGGCTGGCTAGACAGATGCTTAGCGTTCTGACTGTGTCGGCTGTGAAGAGAAGGTTTCCCGGCTGGAGATCGATCCGTCACACACACGTACTGCGCCTCAGAGTTACTTTCGTTTTGCGAAGATTAACAAGCAGAGACCCTACCCGCCGCAAACAGATTGGTTGATGATGTAACGTGAAGTTGACGTTCTCCCCCGAAAGCAGTCCAATGGGAACCGTGAATCTTTTTTGGATGAACAGCCCTGCGTAGACTCTCCGTGATGCAGGGGGAATCGCCCGATTTGGGCGCATTTCCGGGGTGGTGTAACGCTGGAGGCGCGTGACCGCCCGGCCACGTGACGGGCAGACGGTGATGAAAAGACGCTTCTGGTGGACACCGCGAAGAGGGGACATGAATCGGAGCTCCTGCGCGGGCTACCTGAAAAGTCGACCCTAACGTCTTGCGCTGAGTGAAGGGCCTACTTCCGCCGCTGCGCTGTGAGCCCTCCGGTTCTGCGCTCTGAGGGCTCGAGAGCTGAAGCATATTTGTCTACTCGTCCATACGCTCACAGGATGGTCGTCGCGTCGTGACACACGACTTGTGTTTCAGCACGGGGCTAATAATGCTTTTTTGGGTACAGCGGTATGGACTGTAGACACCAACCACCCAAGAACGATTCTCTACGGCGACGACCATGACTGGATGGGATACCTCCTGCGACGACGAAGTATACTTCAATGCGATGCGAACAACCGTGCGCGTGTCGTGCACCTGTCACATGATGCTGCCGACCAACAGATGCACTTCTAGGTGTGGTAGAACAAAGGGGAATACTCCTACCTTGAACTTCTACAAGGAATCGAAACGCAACGATTGGCATGGTAATCTCGGATTTGAGACGCATCTAGATTTCGGAACGAAATCGGGAAGAGTCAGATATTCCAGAAGGGATGTTGGAAAATGACCCCACCTAGTTTAGTCCCCCTTTTCACTCCCGAAATACGCCGGAGCAGAGAAGAAGGGGTATATTTGAGAGTCGTAACATGCCGCCTCGCAACACGCGGCGCTCCACGGCGGCGGCTTCGGCGGCTGCTTCTCCTACAACGGCTTCCTCAGCGGCGGCGCCTGCTTCGACTCCTACCTCGTCTTCACGGGGGAGGAACAAAAACGTGTGGGTGTCGCTGTCAACCAGGCAGAGGCGATGTTACCGCACGTCCTCATCGATCTGTTGAGGGACATGCGCTCTCGCGCGCAGACTGCGTCCTCTTTGGCGGAACGTATTGAGCTCACTCGGGACGTCGCTTTGTTTTCGCTGGCGTTCGCCTCCATGCGGCGAGGCCATGATCTCTCCTTCACTATGGGATCGCAAGTTCTGCGGTTGCCCGCGGGGCAGGGTCTGATTTTCAACTTCCAATTTGGCAAGACCCTCCGCGACTCTGTTGATGCCGTGGTCGTGCGTCCGGACGCCGCTTGCCCGTCTATTTGTGCGGTAAGCAATGTTACGGCCTACATCAGTGCGGCGGAGGGTATTAGCTGGGATTTGTCCCAAGGGCATCTGTTTCCTATCGTTCTGCTGGATGGAACTCGGGGCTGCGCTCTGCTTACGGCGGTTCAGATGACGGCTGCCCTACAAGGGCATCTGCGAGCGGCGGGACTGCCGCACCGCTACACTATGCACTCGTTCCGCGTCGGAGGTTCTGTAGCGCAGTCGCTTGACGGAACGGCGATGGACGCTATCATGACAATTGCCGGGTGGCGTACGGAGAGTGTAGCGAAGCGATATGTTGGCGCCACTACTAGTGTGGGGGCAACGGGTTCCAAGAGGATCCGTAGCGAGCTGTACGCAGACTCAAACGCGTTGCCGTTGTCGGCTGACTTCACATGCGATTTCTCTGCGTGTGCTCGCCCCGAAAAATAAAGAAAGTTTGGGTGGGCGAGACCTAGCTTAGAGGCGTGAGTGGTCAATAACTAAGATGTGGCAGATCGGATAATTAACAAGAAAGTAATGGGCGGGACCACAGGCCGGCGCAGGAGGCCTCACCCAACCAAATCCAATACTTACATTGAATGATCTGGGTAAGGGATAAGAATACTTTCTGGATCTACGAGATCTACGACGGAAATCAAGAACACGAGAAATTGGATCGGACTGGCGGAGCTCCAGGATCCAACAAGCAAGTACAAGCCCTCAAGCGCAGCAGCTGGTCTAACATCATGGCAGAGTCCACCGGCAAGCTCATGTCGATCGTCAGAGGCATCCCGAAGTTCGACGGGAATCCAAACAAGTTTGAAGATTGGAAGGTCGACATCAAGACCGTTCTGGAATTATCTCGGCGGGACATGTTCGAGATATTGAATGGCGACTCCTCAAGACCGAAGGAGATCTATGCGCGGCGAGCCCGTGCATCAGGCACCATGGAAGCCCCGGTGCCCAGCGAGGAAGTCGCTGACGGGGACAGCAGCAAGGCTGTAGGAACTCAAGAAAAATCATCAGCCAGCAGTGCGGCGACTGCTGTTGTGATACCAGGAAGGACTGCGGATCGTGACAGTCCCGGGACAGGATCGCCGGATCTCCAAGCGCGAGATTCGGAACAACCTGGGCCACCTCAGAATCAACGTGAGATTGATGAATGGGAGCAGATCAACGCTCTACTATACAATGTCTTATTCCTGACTACCAGTGGAGACGCAAAGTGTTTTTATGCGCACGTACGAGTCGAAGAAAGGAAGGAAGGCAGACGGGCAAGCAGCCTGGCTTGCGCTGGAGAACAAGCATCAGAACAAGTCAATTCACAGGAGGCAACAACTCATGACAAGACTTGCCAACTTCCGAATGGAAGAAGGATCCAATCCGGACACCTTCTTCAGGAACATTGACCAGCTCGCCGAGCAGCTCGAGCTGGTAGGAGAGCATGTTTCGCGGCACACAAAAATGGACACCATCATGAGGGGGATGCCCAGAGAGTACGAGCCCATCAAGTTCCACGTCATAAGCAATCCAGATATTACTCTGGAGCAGCTAAAATTCACTATTCAGAACATGCACATGAACGGATATGCAACATCCGGGCGCAGAGGAAGGGAATCAGCTATGGCAGCTGGTCCAGCTAGACGTGACACGTCTAAGGTCAGATGCTACTCGTGTGGTCAGCTTGGACACTACCAGAAAGACTGCACGAAGACGGGAGGATCGACCGACAACCTCGGTGGCGACACATCCACACCCCGTCAGAACGGCGACACGACCGGAAAGAAGATATGGTGTTCTTTCCACAAAACACACACCCACGACACCTCGGAATGCAAAGCATCAGCGGCTACGAAGGCCGCAACGAAGTCTCCTAGGAAACAGCACAGGCAGCAAGAGCAACTTCGCCAACTCAGCTGCTGAAGAAGATGAGTCATCAAGCGACAGCGTCTCAACGAAAGACATCGCTAGGGTGTTCAAGCACATCAGCTTGTCTCTTCAAGCTACTGAGGAGAAGGATTCTACGACATCGGATCAAGACAGCGATGACATCCCAAAAGCCATGGGATTCTCGTTCACAGTCACGGAAGAGGAAGAAGGCCTCTCCACATCGGACCACAACACTGCCCGCTTGGTGGACAGCGGAGCATCCGCTCACTACATCGACGACAAACTGGTTCCAGGGACCAAGGCGATGATGACAGATTATCGTAGACTGGTCTCATCCCGTGTCATAACCACGGCAGGCCTGCACAAGCTGCGTGGAACAGCTACAGGCTACATACGGTGTGGCATCACCGACAGCCACGGCAAGACGCATGTGGCGCGTCTACCCATCACGATAGTTCCGGGGATCGGACGGAACTTGTTCTCATCCGGAGCTGCCCAGACGAAGGGAATAGAAACCATCATATCGGATGTTCCTAGACTGGAACGGGAAAACGTTCACTTTCCTCTGAGGCGAGATGGGTCGATCTTCAAGGTGGATTTGAAGATTCTCCCCAAGATTTCATCAGCTCAGGCACAGTCGGCATTCCCTACTACCAACGAGGCCACGGAGTCGTCTCGGACACCTGAACGAGAACAGCATGAAGACGCTGCGCTCCAAGCCTGACTCGGGTGTTTTGTTCCAAGGAGATCTTTCCCCTTGCAAGGTTTGCAAGCTTGGGAAAAGTGCTCAGCTCAAGCATCCAAAGGAATCAACGGTCACGACAACCTCTCCGTTCGAGTTGGTCTACACGGATTTGGCTGGACCGTTCAAGCCTCAAGCGAAGGACGGTTCCAACTATTTCAGCAAGTTCACGGATCATCACACCAGATGGAAAGCGGTTTACCCGATATCTTCCAAGGATCAAGCTATCGACACCCTGACATATTTCATTCAGGATTACGTCATCCCCCTGGGGCTACGGGTGCAGCGTCTACGCTGCGACAAAGGCGGAGAATACGTGGCTGAGTACTACAGGAGCTACTGCAGGGAAACCGGAATATAGATGGAGTTTGCATCGACAAATACTCCTCAGCAGAATGGTGTATCGGAACGTGACGGAAGGACGATAATGAACATGACAAGGTGCATCCTCATCGACACTGGACTTCCAAAGTTCCTGTGGGGAGAAATATGCGAAACGTCGGTCTTCCTTATTAATCGCTCTCCTCATCGTGCACTTGGCGGTAGCTCGCCATACTCCAAGCTATTTGGGAAAGAACCAGATCTTTCGGGTTTGAGGGGTACTGGAGCAAGGGCCTTCGTGCACAACGAGAGACACGGCAACAAGCTAGAACAGAGGGCTCGGGAAGGCATCATGCTGGGGTACAGCAAGGACAGCAAGTCCTATCGAGTCTACAATCCACACAACCGCCGGATCACGGAAAGCCGGAA